ATTATCATCATGTGTTACTTATGTCAATATAAGTAGTATATAACACTAGTCAGGAATTAAAATGTCTGGTGGCAAAAATGTTGAGATGAAGAAGAAGAAGAAGAAGAAGAAAAAGGAGAAGAAGAAGGAGGAGAAGAAGAGGAGGAGGAAGAAGAAGAAGAAGAAAAGGAAGAAGAAGGGGAAGAAGAAGAAGAAGAAGAAGGGGAAGAAGAAGAAGAAGAAGAAAAGGAGGAGGAGGAGGAGGAGGAAGAAGAAGAAGAAGAAGAAGAGGAAGAAGAAGGGGAAGAAGAAGAAGAAGAGGAAAGAATGAGAGCAGAAAGCAATTGGTACAGATATGCAAGAACGATGGAGTCTAAGACAATTCATGAACATTTATCAGATGATGTATTGAACTATAGTTTTTCACCCTAATTCTTACTATTCGATATGTCTTGCGGATTCAAAGCTATATTCGTCTCTTAAGCTATTCTGTAACCCCCAAGCTAGAACTATACAACGACCTGAACAACGAGAGAGAAGACTCAAAGTACGCGAAAAGTCCTTTACTCCAAGGTTCATTTCAATACAGAAAATATAGGGTTTTTATAATATTTTAAATGTCCTTGGGTTGCTAGAACTTTCTGGAATGCTACTAAACATAGTAGTAGTGTAGCAGCCAGCCAATCAGAGCCTCTACATGTGACGTTTCGCTTCCTTGATATTTTTGGCTAAAACTTCAAGTGAACACTGATTGGATGAAACGCTTCTTAGTGTTTTCTGATGCTTGCTTGTCTTTTGCAAGGAATTTTCTGGATCAATCCAACACCATTTTCCCAATGATATATCTTTCTCATTATCAAACAACATATCAGTTCATCATTCATTCAATAAGAACATAAGTCTATCTGAAAGAGATAAAATATCTCTAATTTATCGGTGTTTGTGTATATATGTGTATGTATCCATGTAACTGTACATGTAATTCATTAAATCCATGGTAGATACTTGATGAGAGAGAGAAAAAAAGATACAGGAGTAAAGAGAAAAGTTTCCGTATCTGTAACAAAATCAAGACATTTTCAACGAGGAATCAATACAGATCATCAAATGTATCCAATATCTACTAGAAATTCTAGGACTTGGAAGAAAAGGTCAGAAAAATATGTGAATTTATCTCATATGTCATACACTACTTACTGATTTATTTATTTGAACACATAAATATTGGTACAAGAGGGCACCAAATATATATGTGCCACACTTTATTTGTGTGTGTATGTGGGCTGTGATACTGCCCGGGTGCCCAGATCGAAGCAGGTGGTTATCTTAGGGGACCACACCCCGAGCCTTTGACCTAAAGGTCTGATCCACAAGGTGGTGGAGCATCGTGAGGAGATGCAATCCCATGGGAGCCGGTGACCAACGATTGGTTCATACGCCATTTGTTCCCGAAGGATACTGTAGCTCATGTGCACCATTGGTTTGGAATCCGGTTAGATTGTCGGACATTCGCTTTTCGTCCTCTCATTTTCGTAGACAGCACTCCCGCCACGAAAAGACATTGAGTAGGACTTCCCTGGTAGAGGCTGTATACGCGTACCCATGTGAGAGCATTTCGAGAGGGAGGGCGGGCCCATCCCACTCTCAGCCATACCAGGGCATTTGGCGGCATACTAATACTACTTAAACAGTTGTCTTTCACTACTAGAACTATCCTAATTTGTTGTTTCTTTTGTATAGATTATAATATAGAAATAAAAAAAAGGTTTCTTTTTTAAGAAAATGAAATCGATGTATAAAATATCGATTACTGTATGTAGCCAAATTTCTTAGAAATATACCTAACCAATATTTTCATGTAGGTAGTGTAAAGGTACATAACTGTACCTAAAGTCCCTCTGGGGTTACTGCTGGTCCCAAGCCTGGATAAAGAAAAACGGTTGGGCATGGGGGTTAGCGACTACATCCTGTAGAAAACTAACTTGCTAAAAAAAACGTCAACCAGATGAGCATCGTAATATATAATACTTGACCTAAACATTATCATTGATATTGTGTTGTTTAATTAGTTTAAACTAGAGTAATGTTTGTCTTACAAAGAAAATGAATAAGAAATAGGTTACAAAACAACGTTGGAATTTGTAATGAGTCATTGTAACTATGTAGTTTAACTATTGTGTTATATGTGATACCTACTGGTTTCACAATATCTATTTAGATTAAATTTACAGAATACATTTGGTTGGGGTCCATTTGACCATTGTAATCAATGGTTGGAGACCCTGGGTGACATGGATCAGAATTGATCCACAATCGTGTTGGTGTATACACTCACTGCCCACAAATGCCCTGGTATAGCTGAGAGTAGGATCGGCCCCCTCTCCCTCTCGAAATGCTCTCACATGGCCACGCGAATACAGCCTCTGACAGGGAAGTCCTACTCATTGCCTTCTGGTGGCATGAGTGTTGTTTACGAAATTGGGGACAAAAAAAGAAAGTCCAGTGCTTTAAACGAGTTGGTGGATATGAAAGATCCACATATGAGAATTCGAAAACCCTGATTCCAAACCAATGGTGCACACGGGCTCCAGAATCCTAAAAAAACAAATGGCGTATAGACCTGTTGTTGATCACTAGTTACCATTAGACTGCATCTCCTTACGTTGATTCACTGTCCTATGGGTTGAACCTTTAGGTCAAAGGCTCTGGGTGTGGCCCCCTAATAAAACCACCTGCTTCGATCTGGGCACCCGGACAGTATCCTAGCCCTCACACAAATCGAATGATTTATATGGCCCATATGTATTTGATGCCTCCTTGTACCAATCTTTTTATGTTTAAATAAATAATAAAATATGAGATTAAAATCACTTCATATCTTTCTTTCTATGAGCTAATTCTTTCTTCCTTATATGCAATCCTTCTTTAATATGTACTACCACCATTGAAGTAACTGGTTCTATGAATCCGGTGTTCATCTTATTGTGCTAATGAGGTATGACAACTTGGATCGATGCATATAATTGCCTAGTCCTATGTTGTAACTAACTGACTGTGACAGTATACATTCATTTGTTAATTATTGAGGCTTAGATAAACTGGGAAAAGATATTTCCATTGAAATGAGGATATCCGTTTGTGACCCAACAGAATAAGCAGTTTTTATATGAACATGTATTAAGCTAAGTATAGAAATGACAAGTTTTTATTATTGTGAATTATTATAAGGATTTTATACTATGGACTGATATCGGCTTGAAAAGCATGAAGCGATTGACAGCTGATTCACTTGTTTCTATATTTCTAATAGTGTGTGCAACCACGACACCATATCACTTTGAAGCAATGAGGTTTACATTTCACAAACAATATAATACCTCTAAAACCAGTGAATAGAAATCCTAATCGACCACATTTATTCTAACTTCAATCAATGAAAATGTACGATCCATATGCTGAAATAACGTAAATCCCATCACGAACTAACTCCAATTAGACAACTAATGAAAACCAGGAACTAATGGACAGATATCTTATCCTAGTATATGGATTAGGAAGTGTGCATACATGACTCCATCTGGAACCAAACTCAAGAACCATCAGGTCTCACAAAGAACTCTTAACATTCAGCTCACTGAGTCAATATCTGATGGTTTACATCTCTAGCTTCAACCAATTCGCAATATTCCACAACCATCTTTATATGCCATTAATGTGTAACTAACTTATTCGTGGAACAGTTCAACGTCTTTGGTTATAGCTTCTCACTTCAGGAATTATTTTTCAAATCAAATCATTCTTGAAATTTCCTTCCAAATAGTAGAAATTACTTCTGAAATAATAATCTCCTTGTTATCAAACCTTTGATTTCTCGTTCTTAACTTATTCAAAGATGAAAACCCTACACATATCTACAATCTAATCTTCAAACAACAACATTTACTAAGTAGATATTTTCTGAGATGTCTTATTCCTACTCATAAGTAGTTCAAGTGAAGATCCAATAAAAACCTATTCTCGTGATATATTATTGTTAATATTTTTATTTTTTTTTATTGAGATCATGAACCGATTAACGTTAGACCACTATTGAAAACATGAAGCACTGGATGGCCATTTCGTCCTATTGTGGGACCTTTCAGCAGTGTGCATCCACGATCCCGCTCGCGGGATTCGAACCTAAAGCCTTCATTCTCGTGCGCAGACGCTTAACCTACTGGGCCACTAAGACGGCATCCGATGGTGTTGATGTCTAACTTCAAACAATCCTGTTGGGATATTCAGAAGAATATCCCAAAAATTATCCTTTTAAGTCTAATGCTATCCTTGAACGTGAAATGGTGTCATTTCCCTATTGGTCAATATTTATTTCGTGTCATTTTCCTGTTGGTCAATATTCACGGTAGTCCTAACTGTATAAATATGCATTTGTCTGTAAAGTATTATTCTTATTCCTAATCTTCTTCTGATCCCATAAACAATTTCATCTACGGTTCATGTTCTGATATATTGGAGATTGGGGAACAGTATTGGGGTCGTACTGGAATATCTGAAGTTGGTCAGTCGGTAGAAATTAGAGTAGCCACCCCGCGGTCCACAATAAATCCACGAAATTGTGTGGTGGAGGTTTGAATGTACATACGTTACGTCTAACCTTTTTCAAAGCATCTGGAAACCAATGAATAAATATCGCATCTGTTTTGAATTTTCTTCATTTCAAATGACTACTATATTGGAGTATGATATGAAGTCGCATTCCCGTAAATTTCACTATGAAGAATTTACTGTCGACAAAAAACTGACATTCAATCTAAACTATATAATTTAAAAAAGAAAGACACCTTCTTCCGTTCAACTGTTATAGGAGGACACATTACACTTTACTAAGTCACTCACTGCTACTGCTGCTTTGATTCTCTTCAGATAAGATAAAACAATGAAATCAGTTAGTTGTATTACAGAATATCTTGAACAACCCTATTAACTCAAATATAAATACAACTTATTAGTGTTCTTTTTTAGTGAGGTTCTTTATTACAAGGTTAGGTTAACAGATCTATGTCCAACTCTCCTCCTCCTCCTCCTCCTCCTTCATCCGTTTTTTTTGGGGGGGCGGGACCATAGAAACACTAAGCGAAATCAAATACAATTCATAGCTATGATAAACTGAAGATACATCTCAATACAAAGAATTATGATCATATTTTCATAGGATTAAGTAGTATACAATTGAAATGAGGATGATTTAATTCAGTTACATTTTTAGTTGCCATACAAAATGTTGTTTTAGAAACCACAAAAAAAAATTAATCATGAATATCAATCATCTGAATGCTTGTTACATAATGATAGATCATTGTCATTAAATGAACTGTACAATTTCCCATTCATTATTTATCAAAACCTACTAATACTACTGAATTGAGTCATTGATGAAAGTAGTAATAACAGTAGAAGAAAAACAAAGAGAGAAAAAACAAAACCCACAACAGAATAGGCCTTGACTACATCTAATGACAAACAAGAAGAAGAAGAAGAAGAAGAAGAAGAAGATGTAGAAGAAGAAGAAGGACAGTCTAAGAGAATAATAGACGTAAACATTTTAAAACGAAATAACCTCCAAATGTGATATAAAGTAATTTATCCATGAATTGACGTCTAGATAATTCAAGTTCTATTTCATTCATACGAATCTCTAATAATCTAAGACGTCGTGTATCTACAACAATAGATTGAGTATTATTTGTTTGATTCATTGATGATGATGATGGTGATGATGATATTGTTGTAGATGAATGATTTATAACATTTGAGATATTCGATAAAGGAAGTGGAGAAGGCTGTTGTTCTGTTGGGATATGATTCCTTTATTTTTTTGGTTTTGAAAATGAAATAAAATACAAATAGTACTTATCACATTACCATATACAAAGCAACAAATAAAATATATATATCGCATTAAAACGTATGCCCCCCAAATGCCCTGGTATGGCTGAGAGTAGAGTGGGCCCGCTCTCCCTCTCGAAATGTTCTCAAGTGGCCATGTGCATACAACCACTGACATAGAAGTCCTACTCATTGCCTTCTCATGGCACGAGTGTTGTTTACGAAATTGGGAACAAAAAAAGAAGGTCTGATGCTTTAAACGAGTTAGTGGATATGAAAGATCTACATATGAGAGTTCGAAAACCCTGATTCCAAATCAATGGTGAACAAGGGCTCCAGAATCCTAAGGAAACAAATGACGTATGAACCAATCATTGGTCACCAGCTACCATGGGACAACATCACCTCACGTTGCTCCACTGCCTTGTGCTTTAGACATTCACGTCAAAGGCTCGGGGTGTGACCCCCTAGTAAAACCATCTGCTTCGGTTTTGGGCACGCGGGCAGTATCTCAACCCTCACATAAATCGGACGATTTATGTGGCGCATATCTGTTTGGTGACTCCTTGTACCAACGTTTATGTTTTTAAATAAATAAATAAATAAAACGTATGCAGCCTAAACATTGAAGAGCTATCACTCAATGTTACAAATTAGCCGTAAATTGATGTAAATCATTTACAAACTACATATTTGTTATGTAGTTGAATTTGAGTCTCAATTTCTCGTATATGAAAGGATAATTCCACTATTGCAAAACTGAATAAACACAAGGTGTAGTATAGCTCAGACCAGTTACGGAGAAGTCAAATATTTTAATCACCAAGTTACAACTCTAAATATGTAAACTATGGGGAAGGAAATTATTTTAAGAATTAAGACAAGAGTAATGAAGCTTCATCAGTTGAGATGGCTGGGACACGTGTTACGTATGCCCAACGACCGACTGCCCCGACTTGCGATGTTCAGTGGTATAGGAGTAGGTTGGAAGAAAACTAGGGGCGACCATACCAAAACATGGCACAAATCCATGAAGTCACTGACAAGTGAACTGAGTCATGTTGGTAGGTGTAGACTACCTGGTTGGGGACCGCAAGATTATAGCAATCGATGGTTAGAGACCCTGAATGATATGGCTCAAAATCGTTTGCAATGGCACAGGTGCATCCACTCTTTGTGTTCTCCCAAATTCTAATCTTCTGAATTCTCTTGTCCCTTTCTTTTTTCTCTTTCGAAATTTATTTCACTGGATTATACTCTTTAAATAACATCTCCCAACCCAAATCCTTCCGATTACTGCTTATACTCTTACTACCTTTACCACTACGGGATTTGAATCGACAACTGCATCTCTGTGCTAATGTGGTATAGCAATTTGAACTGATGTACGTACATATGAAGTTCTACATTGTTACTGACTGACTGAAGACAAGAGTATCTGAATAATTATTGTTTCTTTTTGAAACGAATTATCAAAAAAAAACATACAAAAATAACCAATTATTCTTACTGAGATTCGTTTGTTAATAATAGTGGAGTTGAGATGGCTGTTTCTATTTCTCTCTTCTCAATAGTTAATCGTTCTAGATCTGGATAATGAACTTCATTTAACACTAAAGAAGTAGGCAATGGATCTAAAGCATGTTGAAGTGGAACAGGATCTAAATTATCGATAAGATCATCTGTAAGAAAAAAAAAGCAAATTTAAAAAGTCAAAAATAATAAGTCATATAATGAAGCATATGGATTTATCGATGGTGGCAATGTTGGTTACACCAAAACAAAAAAATGATTCACACAAGTTGCCATAGAGTAGATATTGTTATAGGTCCAGATTATTATTATCATTATTATTATTTAAATAAACAAATAGGCATTCAATGATGTCCCCCAATCCCAGATGACTACTGGGTATGATTCAGTTACAAAACCTACGGCTCCTCAGCAGTCGGTAACTTCATGTATGGATGCCGTGATGTCTTGATTTGGATCCTTAAAGTCTTATTCTAAACTGATTCTAAACTAGGTAGTATCGCATACCAAGGTAGGTGACTGCTGGGCTATCATAACACACATTCAAACCATCTAAGTCAATGGACATCTATGACCTAGTTAGTCAACTCACCGTTTCTACTAAAAACCCTAAGCTTGACCCCCATACATTGTCTATGGTATCACCTATGATCAAATATTCAAAACTAATGTATTTTAAAGTTTAATAGGCTGTTTCATAGGCGTACAGTAACACGGAGAGGACTGAGACGTAGTATACCCACCCTGTGATTAGAAAGTGGACATTTTACTTACACAACGCAATGTAGAAAACCAAACGCTTTTTTGTATTTATGTCAGCTGTTAGGACGTCCAGTCTTATGTAATTTTCAAAATTAGTAAAGTGGTCTACATTTTCGACTAATTCGATTTCTATAATGAAACTAGAAATCCCCTTAAGGAAATTTTAAAACAAAATTTGGAGAGAGGGACACAACACAAACACTCTTGAATTATTATTCAAGACGTTTAGAAGAGTATTATGAGAACAAACGAAGACTTTATAACACAATGACAGATAAGCTAGTTATTTCGATGCCTCCCAGCTCAGTGAACTAGAGAGAGAGAGAGAAGTCCAAGTTCAGAAGAGGGAAATATATTCATTCCACTAACAGCCAGAAGCACGAACAGTCAATCAGCTACAACATAGGACCAGGCACATATATGCATCGGTCTAAGTTACCATATCGCATTAGCACAACAAGATGAAAACCGGATTCATAAAAGTAGTTAATTCAGAGGTGGTAATATATAAAAGAAAGATTACATATAAGGATATAGTACAGGAAGAAAGAAAGATATAAAGTGATTTTAATCTCTTAGTTTAAGGGAAAACAGAGAGTGTATACACCGACGCCATATCACCCAAAGTCTCTAACCATTGGTTACGATAGTCACACGGACCCCAACCAAGTAGTCTGCATCTACCAACATGGCTCAAACTAGATGTTAATCTCTTCAAGCACTGATGCCACGTTTTGATTAGGTTGCCCCTAACTTTCTTCCAACCATCCACTACACCGGTTAGCAATTGCACGTCGAGAAGCACGAACAATCACCACGACAACAAGTCTAATCGAAAATAGACTCGTTTATATATTGATTCATACATTCATTTTTGATTAATAATCAGAATAAAATCACAAATATATGAAAAATACTTAGTGGGGGGGATATAAAAAATCATATGCTGAGTATAGTTCATGTTAATTGTTAATACAAAAATATTGTATGTTAAACAGAAACGATAACTAGATTGAGTAATCATTACATTGAATTAGAAAATGGAAATAATGTTGAGCAAGAATCATAATGAGTAAATAAATCTAATTTTGACTTTTTATCCTATATCTCATATCAATAGTTTAGAATTCGTCAAACAGAATAGTTTAGATGATAGTTTACCTGACACTTCGGAGAAAATAACTTTCAGAAAATTTATGTATGTTTTGGCCCCCAAATGCCCTGGTATGGTCGAGAGCTGGTAGAATTCTCCGGGACGACATTCGTAGAACATGTCTAAGCCACCGAAGTCGGTGTTTCAAGATGGTGACACGAATTGAATTATCATCTCTGTGCCCGAATACACGATGCCGAACCTCTGCATTACTAACATGGTGTTGCCACTGGATGTCAGCAATCCTTCGGAGACAACGATGATCGAACACAGAGAGTCGTCTAACGTCCTCAACTCGGAGAGACCAGGTTTCACAAGCATAGAGCAAAACTGCTCTCTCCGGCGCGTTGTAGATCTGACCTTTTACAGCCAGACTAACATCACGAAGGTGCCAAAGATGGATCACATTGGCATAAGCCGCTCTGGCTTTCACTATACGTGCATTGATCTCATCACTCACACCCCCACCAGCACTTATGCAGCTACCTAGATACACGAACTTCTCGACTACTTCTATCTGCTCACCATCCAGGGTGGATACAGCATTAGAATCCTGCCAGTCTTGTAGAAGTACTTTGCACTTCGAAGGTGCAAAGCACATGCCATACCTACGGACATTGATTGCCAACTGATTAAGTGAGGATTGCATGGCTTGGGGATTATCGCACAGTAGGACAATATTATCCGCATACTCAAGGTCGAGAAGTCTTTCTCCAGGCAACAGATCCACACCACCATTACTTACATTCATCAGAGCTGTTTCCAGAATGTCATAGATGGCAAAGTTGAAGAGGAATGGTGAAATCGGGCAACCCTGTCTAACCTCACTGCTTGAATGAAACAGTGGAGAGATGAAAATTCTTACTAACTAACCTTTCGATCCCTTTATTAACAGTAAAGAATAATACATTGTGCTTTTGAATGGATTATATATATATATACGGTAGAAAAGAAAATGTAGCAAGCATATTTGATACCTACCTCCACGTCGGTTGAATGCCATAAGTGGAGATGATTGATTCTGTGCACCAGACATGACTATCCTTTCTGGCACTTTCATATTGTCATTCTCAGAAGAATCGAGCGATAAATTCACCTGCGGTAAGCTACTTGGATCTAATGATATTCTATCAGGAACTCTCATTTTTGAATTGATATCTTTGATAAAATTGGAGTCACAGCTACCTCGTGTGTAAAAATCATCTAGGATAACGGACCTATGAACAAAAAACAAGTTAGAGTATATCGCCATAAAATTTAAGTAACCCAAAATTTTAATGACGATTTCCATCTAGAAAAGCATTTAATAGAAAATCATAGAAGAGTGGGCCACTTTTTGTTTCAAAGTAGGACTTCCTTAAGCAGGTTGCATTTTAGAACTTTAAACGGGAATCAGGTCTCAGTGATTATTGTTAGGTGTCTGTACTAATGCAATAAAAACATAACATCGTACGACAGCACAAAGGATATAAAGATCCAGGTCGCTACACTTTACGGTAGTATAATTCCGTTTGAAGACGCTGACAAAATGCAGTCTTCTGATCAACTTAAGCAATAATGCAGGGATGTTTGGGATGCAGTTTTCTCCCCTCAACTGCGAAATGTTCCTTTAGGATTGGTCTGGGTCAGTGCCTAAATTATTGATAGGTGAAGTAGTTGAGCGTGTCGACTACTTCAACCACCTTAAGTCTCATCAGTCCTAGTGGTCTGGTGTCTGACGAAATTTCTGCACGGATTTAGAAAGATGGATTGGCTTTTACCAATTTGAGTCATTTGTGGTGTAGGTGAGATATTTGTATGCCAATCAAAGGAAGTTTACTGCGCAGCAGTTCACTCTATTCTACTTTATAGATGTGAAACATGGCTATTAAGAATAGAGGATATTCGAAGGTTACTGGTATTCGATCATGGGTGTCTTCGAAACATTGTTTGTGTATTATTGGACTACCAAGTAACGATAGTAAATAGATTTACAGGGTGGTAAATTCTCATCAACTGAGGTGGTTGGGATGTGTTACGTATGCCCTCTCACAGCCCACCTTGACGAGTTTTTATTATTTATTTATTTGAACACATAAATATTGGTACAAGAGGGCACCAAATATATATTTGCCACACTTTATTTGTGTATGGGCTGTGATACTGTCCGGGTGCCCAGATCAAAGCAGGTGGTTTTATTAGGGGGCCACACCCCGAGCCTTTGACCTAAAGGTTCAACCCATAAGACAGTGAATCAACGTAAGGAGATGCAGTCTCATGGTAACTAGTGATCAACAGCAGGTTTATACGCCATTTGTTCCTTCAGGATACTGGAACCCGTGTGCACCATTGGTTTGGGATCCGGTTAAAGCGCCGGACATTCGCTTTTCGTCCTCTCAATTTCGTAAACTACACCCTCTGCACGAGAACACAGTGAGTAGGACTTCCCTGGCAGAGGCTGTATACGCGTGGACGTGTGAGAGCACTTCGAGGGAGGGCGGGCCCACCCCACTCTCGGCCATATCAGGGCATTTGGGGGCTGATGTAGAAGTAGTCAGAGAGAAAGCTAGGGGGCGACCAAACCAAGACATGACATCAGTTCATGAAGACATTGGTAACTGGACTGAGCTATGTTAACAAGTGTAAACTACCTTGCTGGAGTTCACGTGATTATCGTAACCAATGGTTAAACTTTGGATGCTATGGCTCAAAATCGTTTGTCAGGACGCATGTGAATTTATTTTTCGTCTTTCTCCAAGTATTAAGCTTCTGAATCCCTTACAACTATTTTGTTTTTATTGCACTAACTTACATTTTCTTGAATTGTATCTTCGATTCCTAATCCTTTCAATCGCTACCCACACCAGTATTACCTCTACTATTCTGAGATTTGGTTTAACAATTCAATCTTTGTGCTAATGGGGTATGGTAGATTGAAGTGATATACATACGTACCAAGTTCTAGGTTATGACTGACTGAATGACGATGGTGTATAGATGGAAGACTGAATGGGACTAGATTGTCACCTTATAGTCAAATGCAAGGAAGTTATATCAGTCCCGGTGAGTTGGCGTCATGGATTTACAGTTCTATTGCCCTTCGGTATCTAGCAGGGAAGGTGAGATTCCCGTTTTCTGACTAAAGAGCGAGTCAACTGAGCAGCGATCCTCTCTGCGTTACTCCATGAAAGTAGAGGACTTGTATAAGCTGCAAGTTATTGATTACACGTATCTCTAAAGCACTCCTCTAGCATCACGAAGCGACTGAGTGAATAATCCTCAAGTTAGGGACAGCGTACCAACCGAATACCTTGAATCGGTTAAAGTTATGTATCTTTATTGATTGAGGTGGTCAGGACATATATTCTACCAGCCCCTATCTCGACAAGTAGCGTTGGCTGGTCTAATAGTAAGTCTAGGTGAGACTAAACCAAGGCGTGACATCAGTTCATGAGATCGTTGACTATGAATCCAAGCTCTGCTGGAAGATGCTAGCTGCTCGGTTTGAGCACATCTCACCTTAAAAAACGAGGAACCATTTGGAAAATACAACTAAAGTGTCAAACTGTTTTTTATCCTACTAATATGAGGGTGGCAGGTTTAACTTCATTGGCTACTTTACCTTATTAAGAAAACATATGGACTCCAGAATCCTAAAGGAACAAAAAGTGTATGAACCAATTGTTGGTCACTGGCTACTACGGGACTGCATCTCCTAACGTCGCTACAACGCCCTGTAGATTAGATCATTAGGTCAAAGGTTTGTGATGTGGGGCCCTCTAAGAAAACCACCTGTTTTGGGCACCATGGCAGTATCCCAGCCCTCACATATATCGAGTGATTTATGTGGCGCACATGTATTTGATGTCTCCTTGTACTAATGTTTATGTGTTTAAATAAGTAAATAAATAGATGGTCAACTGATAGGACATGAAAAACTAGTTAAATCGGTTTAAATGCATCTAGAACTATTATAACTACCTAAGGCAATTGATACGGATTTACCATATATTAGAGGTTGCATCTACATTGATTCCCATACACAATAAAATCGAACTAATAACTTATAAATACTAGTTTGCTGAGAATTTACTTCCAGTAAATAAGTTGATTTTCAGCTCTATTAAAAACCTCGATAAACTGAATCAAAAACATACTTCATAAGTTATACGTGAATGAACAATAACGGTTCTAAATACGTAGACTGAATACTGATAAAAACAGCAAGTTATTATAATCTGAAGACTTTTAGGAATTAGGAGAACATCAGACAACATAGGTCACGCGTTAGAAAGTTGGCTTCGAGGAAAACTTCACTTTCTTTACGACACTAAACAACCGGTGACTCTAATTTAAGGACGAACCAATCAGTGTTTGAGCAAATTCAAGGTCATGGAGCCAAGTTCAACACGTGATGCTAACATACGATCGGTTTACAGCGGATTTTAGAGAAGAAGTGATTATTAAGAGGCTACAACAGATGAGACTATTAATAAGTTCTTGTACTTGCGACTGCGGTTATCAAATGACTGCAGCAAAGTGTGCAGACCACCGTGGTGAGATTGTTTCGTTGTTCTTCATGTTGGAGGAAAAAGTATGCTCGAACGGGGACTTTCTTCGCTCGGTCGCGACTAACACTAAGGCAGATCATGATAATAGTAGCAAATTGGGTAATCAAGACACCAGTGACAGTGGCTGCGGCGTTTGCAGATGTTACTGAAACTTCAGCAGTCCAGTGGTATGAGTACTGCCGTGACATATGTGCAAGTAAAATGACACGTGACGCCAATCATTCGGAGGAGTAGGATGCATTGTGGAGATAGATGAAACGGTAGTAAGAAAGCGAAAATACAATAGAGGACGTAGTATCAAGGAAGAATGGGTAAGTAGCATTTCCGTAAATATACTTGACAGGTACTTGGAATCTATGACCGATCAACGCGAAAGGGATATTTTCAGAGGTCATTTAAGATTCGTTCAGAGTTTGTCCCTAAATTAGAGTCTCGCTAAACAACCTCCTGAAGGTAGTAAGTAGGTAAAAAGTAAAGATGCATACAGATATTTAATTCGGGATAAGCACATGATGACCAACTGAACATATGAGCCCGGAAGAGTTTATGTTCGACAAGAGTGGTTTATGAACCTGCGGTGATACTTCGTCACACATTGACGAATTCGCTTCGAAATTTACTCAGAAATCATGATGACAGATCTTTGTTCAGACTCAACCACACTACTCTGTGGTTCACCTCAAAGTTGTAAGGAATTTGGTAGTTTTCTCCAAAGTTTGGGACAAAACCCCAGTGTTATAAGATTCTGGGGAATTATTGTGAAAAACCCTAAATTTCATCAAACATTTTGCAAATTTCCCCAAAACTTTGGAGATTCTCCCTAGAGCTGAAGAGCTTCTGGAGCATTTGCGCTATTTACCATAGGCTTTCAATTGCGGCTTGTCCAAAATTTACCTGAAACGTGCAGAACTCTTCCCAAAATAGAGAGACTGAGTATTCCATCATTTATGATAAGACAGGATTTTCCTAGAAAATCGGCACTAATTTCACGCCGACACCATATATAATACGTTTTCAATACAGTCCTTGCCTTCTAGGACTTAAGAAAGAAATGAACTCACATGTGACAGGTTGGTCGTCTTTTTCACCACTTGATCACTAGCATGTGCCGCACACGAACAACACATCCGCGTAAAGCTTTTTCAACTCTCAATAACTTGGAATTTGATTGACATGAAAAAATGAAATGAAAGGAGTGATAACGTAAAAACATGGTTATTGACTAGTTTTTATGAAATTTAAAGGGACAGAATGTTACTTAACGATAGAAAAAGTGATCGTGGGAGACCACTTAAGATGAGTGCACTACCATTACTACAAACTGTATTTACATTGCCGACCTCCAGAGATGAAATAAATCGTAGGTAACACACCTAAAAAAAGAGCGACATATGGATCTCAGGAATTTTTCAGGAGACATCTAAGGCATCGGGGCACACTGTACACACCAAAGTTAAACAGCGGCAAAATCCAACTACGTAAACATTAATTCTTTTGAAATAATGAAAAAAAACAGTTCCGTCGCCTCGAGAAATTAATTTCACAGCATGAAGAACATTTGTAGAGATCATTTAGAATGGGTTTTTGGCATGTATCGGAAACAGTTTTGAATAGATCAGAGATCAAGCTATTTAAAATGATGGACAGAAATTGATGTTTAATCTTATTCAAGCACCTGCACACCCGTCTTGAGATACGGTGTCTAGCCAGACTCGTGGCCCTCAGATATATCAGTTCAATTCTTCTGGATTTACCCAATACTTGGTCTAGTGATTGTATGTTTCAAAGAAGTTCGATCATACTCATGCATTAATCGTTTAGAAAGACATCACAATCTTATATTATATACATCGCTATTTCAGTCAAATTTACTTCAATGAAAACAGGACTTCTGTTGCTATTAAAGTTATGCTGAACAGTAACAAAATCACTATATCGTACTGAAAATATTCTTGAGTAGGAAGACTAGATGTTTAACTTGTAGTGACCTACTTTTATCAAGAGAACACGATTAACGTAATGGAAACAATTATTATTACTATCAATTGTACCACTGATTGTTTTACCGTACTTGTTTGCTTAACTGTACCAAAGCACATACATTCTTCCGTTGATTGTGGCCTTGCACGAACTTACGTTTGCTCAGTAATTCCACTTGCAATCCTTTGGCACGATCTCGGTATTATTTCGATACCACGAGATTGCCAACAAAATACATCTCGACTACAGCCATCAACTGCCTTCTGATATTTGGCTTACGGGGGAACTTATCGATTAACTGACACGTAGTCTTTGTCGCGTCCAAGTGTTTTCTCGTTCCCGTTATTGAAGTACGGCATATCGATCAATTTGCAGATTACGAACCAAACTCCAAATTGGGTACCAAATTTTATTCGCAATTTAAAAGTAGTAGGCCCAAATGTCGTTCTTCAATTTTGTAGGTTCCCGGAGCAAAAACTCTCAAATATCAAACTAATAACAAAGAGAAACCGAAATGATCGAAAATAATGATATAAACAAACAAGTTCAAAAGTTACGTAAAATAAATACGTCCAAAAACACAGTAAAATTATCAATATACAACAAAAAGGTTATAATCAGCCAAATGTCTACAGTTCTCTTGTAACAGCCTTACTGTAGTGGTGACCATAGTCAACGGCGACTCGACGTCACACTACAAACTGAACACTTACTGTTGATTATAAACCAGAGGTATCAAAAAGATCATCAGGTAAGCGCAAGGGATACTCATGAGTTTGTAGGGCCTCATTTATTCCTGTTGAGTAATCGGCACATGAATGGACGATACTTATTCATACATAAAGTTGTAATAAATCCATCCTGGGTTTTATCACATATGCAGTCATACACATCGGTTTCAATAATATTTCCAAAATCAGTGATTTTAAGAGGAGGTTGATTTAGCATACGAAGCTAGGTGATTATGAATGACTCGACAACCCCTTATTAAGACCGAAATATTTTAGATAAAATAGGCATTCACTTCCTTGCTTGGTGAAGATACTTGATTTTTAATATTGCACTACAAAATTTTTATTTGATTCACGTGCCTGCCTCTCGCTTCCCCAGCTTCTCGTAGTGTATAATAAGCCACACAACGACCATCATAAATTATTCTGATCCCTTATATGAAGTGGAGCAAATATAAGCACTTCAAATCCAACATGTCTGTAACATACATTACAAAATGGAAGCTTTTAGTCAGAAGGATATTAAGGTACGAGAAACTGGCCGTTTGGTAAATAGGTATATATGTATTTATACCTTACAGAATAGCTTATAGGGGAAGATAAATGCCAAAATAAAAAGTTCTCTGAGTCTTTGACAACGATACTGACTTCATTAGTTTTGCAGTACTCACCATGGCTGAAGGCACTCGGTCACGCATTCCCAGCCATCTTAGATCAAACGCTTCTCGGTATATCAACAACTTTCGAAATATGTCTTCAAACTCCTACATATCTCACTTCTGACTTGGCTGGATTGGTTTCCTTCGATTATAAAGGCGTTACAGACAAAAGCCTTGTCAAATCCTGAATATCTGTGGCGCCTTTGGTGATGAGCTCTGTGTTGTCCGGCTCAACAAATGAAAAGTTGAAAATATTCTTTGTTGTACCATTACATGTCATTTTTAACTCTTACTTATCATGTTACTTTTTTATTCCTGATTTTTTCGGACCATTTATATATTTCACGCCCATTATGGTGGAACAGACACACAAACTGTTGAAAGTTGAAACTCTTATGCCCCGACTTTTCAACTCACACAATTCCAGCCTGATAAGACCGAAGCCTGGTTCCGCTACGCAGATGCTGACACGCGTAAATACGGCGTGCTAAATCCACGTGGGCAATTCCGAGCAATGATAAAGACACAACGGCGTGACTGTAGAAAATACTTTACACCAATTATGTTTACTAGTGAGGTTTCCCATCCCCGCGATACCTTAAAAACAGGGTATCCTTAAACAGAGAGATTAAATCGATCAACAGAAGTTGGTCCAGCTCGTCCGAAACATGAATTTGTAACACAGCTCAGCAACAAAATTTTGCGACATATGTGGAAGGTTAACAAACTTTTGACGAGGGCCTATTTAGACAAATCTTCTTGTCTAATGTTCGCCAAAAGGTGCAAGCGGTTCATGTCACATTTCAAAACAGCACCGCTAACGAACTGACTGCGTCTGACAACCGGATACGGCAGATCGCTAGAACATCAAGCGCTGACGTTTATTCTGTAAATCAAGAGCACCATGCTATACGGAATGATATTGCAAACCTTTGTAATAATCTCACTCTTTATATTCAAATCCATTATAGTCGTAGACGCTACAAACCCCCCAAAAATGCATACCACGAAACAGATATATCTTTAGACCATGGGAAACAGGATGTCTTCAGACTAGCACCCCTTCGAGAGATTCGACAACTAGACTACATTTCTCAGCTTTTATCCGATCTACAGCACATTTCTGGCTCAAACAATTTAGTAGCAGACATTTTTTCGTATGACTTCCTTGATCATTTTGCAAGGAGTCAGTTCTCTCGAACCCGCTGAGCTTAATAAAGAGGACACTGAACCTCAGCACGAGTTAGCTCTCACAAACTTTAAACTAAATTTAACAGATAGAACAGGTAAGGAAACTTTGCTATGTGACACATCCACACGAAGGGATCGTCCAAAGAGTTCCTTATTTCATTCACTGGATATGGATCTATATTTCTAAACTAGACATCTTACAAACTCCATGCGTCTAATTAAGCCTGTTTCCACTGGGGGGCAGTCAACTGGTATTTTCTTCCAACCCGCCTTACGACTTGATAATAATTTTTGTACTCCGCGATCCATCACGTTTACCCGGCTAAACTGCATACAAAGGATCCTTCAAAGTTCTATATCACGAAGGTAAGTACTATACCATCCATAACAACGGAACTAACGGTGACATCAGCAATGACAGTCATAAAGACACTAATTTAAAAGGAGATCTTTGTAGATCGACAACATTGGTGGTCTGTGTTGATGATTTGGGGCTTAATGGAGCAAGAGTAGATACAAGAACAGAATGAGACCACTGAATCGTGAGTCAGTCCATGGAGTGCAATCGATTGATGCAAGATGATTGTCCTTGACACTTTCGAGATTCGTAAGTTGTTCGATACTCAGTGACATGACTGCTGGATGGTTTGGCTAGGGACATTCCACTGGTCTTACAATGTCCTCATCAAAGCACCTGAAGGATTATCAACGCAGCTATAAAACTCCGCACTATGTTGCAGATGACAAGGTGTGGTTTATATTTCAGTTGTTTCTTTATATGTCACATCAACAGCTTTTACTAAGTTAATAAGCCTCTCCCGTTGCCTTAGCTGTGTTAGCAACATCAGTTGATATTAGTGATGATGCCACAGGTATTCGGAGTTTGACAGTAACACGAGCAACACCTAATATGAATCATACCCACCAAGTTAAATGAAAAGACAGAAGCGAGGAGGTTCGAAGATATATTTGATAAGCTATCAATAAATCGGGGATTGTCTGATCTAATCTGGCTAGCGATTACAGTAGATGTTAAGCACGGCGTTCCTACTCGTGATCTGATGCGGATGCATGACCGAGCGCCTTCAGCTAGGTGAGTCCATTAAAACTAATGTGGTCAGTATCCATTGTCGAAAACTTACAAAGCTATTTATTTTAGGGATTTATTTGCCGCTACAATAGAAACTTCTTCAACTTCTTTTATCACTCCACTTTGTGACGAATCGTATATCATTTTCTAGCTGTGTTTAGTAGGTAATGTGCTAACTTGGAATTGTTACTTAATCGATCTTCTTGACAATGTTACTAAAATTTTGATGCTTTGTGACTACACGTGAATTAAGAATTCCTAAAATCTACAAAACTGTTTTTACGCTCACAAATTAGTTGTTCTAACGATTTTTTTTGAATATAATAATCAAGTCTCGAATTTGTTATATTCTATAGAAATTTCGTAAAATACTGAAGGCTGGTGCTTTTTTAAAAGCGCACAATATGGTTTTGTTTATCCCATCGTTGCCATAAGACATATGTCAACATTTTATAGTGATCTAGCAAAAGAAATAGAAGACGAAGATACCC